TGTGTGTGTGTGTGTGTGTGTGTGTGTGTGTGTGTGTGTGTGTGTGTGTGTGTGTGTGTGCCATTAGCACAATAGCAATACCCTTCATGTGAAAATGATATAATAATAGGGTCGTTAAAAGTAGTCTCCCTAGCAAAAATAAGATCCTACGTCAGTGTTTACAGTGATCTTAACTGTTATGCTATCTCAGTAATGTACCACTAGATCAAAAAAAATCACTCTTTACACAAGGAAAGCATTTATGTTTTTTGTCTAAAGTGTAGGACTATGAGCTGTCATAAATATCCAACAATTGTTATTCATAAAATATCATTATAGAATTTGAAATTTTTTAATTTTTTTTCGGAAGGAAGGTCGTGCCCACCCGTGATCTATGGCATGACGCCACTGGTGTATAAATGAACTCTGGGCAAAGGGATGTAAATACTAAGAAATGTTTAAATAAGATATCGTAGCTTTCTTGGAACAATTAAAATAAAAAAAACTGTCATTAGTCAAGCAATGATTCATACGCTGTTTTACTAATCACAAATACATATATAAACACTTGATTAAACATGTTCAAAATATTTATCTATATTGAAAACTAATAAATTAATCAAACTCGGAAAATACTACATTTATTATTATTTGTATGATAATTAATATTATTAACCCACCACTGATAAAAAAAAAAGTACTGTTTTCTGACTATGCCTCCCACACTCAATGCGTGGCGTCACCGACTTACACTTTAAATTTTACCTTTTATTACAAAACAATATATGTAGTGTAATGATTAGCAGTGAGGGTCTATATAACTATTGAATTATTCACGTATTAAGAATCAAAAGAACTGTTAATACATAATGGATACAGACAGATTTATTGTAGAGGAAAACCTTGAGTCGCTTTAAAAATACATAAATAAATAACTTACCTCCAAGATGATCATTTTTCCGCCAAATATGGCCATAAAATGTGGCGGTTCTTTCCCTTGTACAACTCTGATCTGTAAAGACAAATAGCAATGATTTTGGAAACTAGAAAGACTGAAAATGTAATCCACTTAAGACTGTTTACTCAAACCACTTTCTCGATATCGAGAGAGACTGAATATTATAGGCTAGTATATCAGAAACTTGTTACAAATTAACAATTTATTTTAGGCAGAGTTTTAATTGAAACTTAATCTTTTTTTAAACTTAAAAATATTCAGTGGTGGTATAGGATAAACTGCAATGTAATCTTTCTGAATCCGAGGATTCGTGGTTCGCGGCCAGTTGCCGATAAAAAAAAAAGTACCCTACACGTTGGGACCGTAAATGCTTTATAGGAGTGACAGTTTAAATTCCACTATTCTGTCAGACCAGAATATGTTATATATATATGTAGGTTTACATTCTTCTTAGAATTCTTCTCAAGAAGTCGATAAGCCGTCTTAACATTGTTAGAACAACGGGTAAAAGTTGTAGATAGTGATGAGTTGGCCGACGCGTTTCGAATGCATTCTGCATCCATTATCAAGGCTGAATGTTGTGCGAATTGTAATTACTGTTGGTGGATATTTATAAGTATGGGTAAGCAGGTGGTGGTATCTAGCTCGTGGAAGGCGTTAATATATATAAATGGTGTTACATAAATTCCACTATTCTGTCAGACCAGAATATGTTAGGTTATATATAAATTTTGTTAAAGTTAGGATTTCTGTATTATTTACCATAGCATTCACCCACACATTTCTTTAAAGTTTATAACCCAGACAAAGGACGGGTACCTCAGCTTGTTGTCATATAATATACAGGGATTTATTTCCTGGTCACAGACTGTAAAGCTATTTGAAGCTACTAGCCTAACTTCGCACCCATGTCTCCCTATAAAGTCAGTTCGCAATATGTACTCCTCCTCGATATCAGTTACCCACACATCATGCGATGTAAAGGATTCCTACAATGAGTGTGACTTATAAGTTTTCCCTTGCTGGATCTGGTGTCAACTTGTTATTCGCATCAATCTATCTTCATCTACCGACAGAGTATTGTCAACTGAACTTTGCCCCCAAAAGTCCACCTAATTTCTGTTTTCCGATATCTGGTTAGCTATTTGTTGTCATTTTAATATGATTGAGCTGGGAGGCTCATCCTTATGGTCAGGGGCGGTTCTCCACTGGAAATCTCTGCCTCCTCCCCCATAACCTCTTCATCCGAAATATAATCTTTTAAGATTTAAGTTCTCTGCATTGTGACTCCATTGACATGAAGTTCTTAAATTTTTCTGCCTCCAAACTAATTCTTTCTTCCTTATGCCCCCACCCAATATAAAATTCTAGAAACGCCACAACTTATGGTATTATCTCTTTAGTGCAATTTCACCTTTCTATTCCATAGTGTATTGGAAAATATGCACCGAACAGTGAAACTTTCTTTATAATCATTGTACGCTGTTACTTTCTCACTCGCACACAAGTGAAACTTTATGCATTTTTTTTTCTGAAGAGTCGCGCTTTTAATTCATGCATAGTTTGGACTATACACATTTACAGGTGCAATTCTTTTTTTTTTTTTTTTCTTAGATAAGACTCGAATTTGTGTATTTTGATATTCCCCAACGTACCTACACACACACACACACAGTGTTAATTTGCAAGTGCCTGTTATCAATGGAAATGGACAAATATGGCCACCTACAAAGATAGTTTGGGAGAAAATTACTGGAAGAACACACGTACAGCTCTGGCTTGCGAAGGTTACAACGTAGATGCGACATTTACCGATCAAGCAAAATAAGGAATATATGTAACGAAACGGGAGCGAGTACAGCGTTAATTTGAAGTTCATTAAACAAGAATACCGTAACCCACTTACTTTAGATTATAACACACTACAAGTGTTTTTTTTTTTTTTAAGTTAAGCACAAAGCTACACAATGGGATATCTGTGCTCTGCCCACGACGGGTATCAAAACCCGGTTTCTAGCGTTGTAAGTCCACAGACATACCGCTGTGCCACTGGAGGGCGTTAACCGATCTCACAGGAGCTTTCATTCAAAGCAGTTGTCATAACTTTTGTCCTACAGTAAAGTTTAGAAATGTTAGCTAACAAACAAATGATACCAGATAAAAAACATTCTACTTTTTATATTAATTTTAACTATATGATAGAAGCTGCTAGTCTTGAGAAAAACAATTCGAGTTTGTTTTTTTTTTTAGGTATTTGACATAAAGTCCTTTACTCATCATTAATCTATATACTACTAAAACTCTGAGATTGTTTGTTTGCTTGTCTGCAATTAAATGCAGCAAAAAAGACGCACGATAGCGCCATATTTGTAATGAAATGAGAATAGAAACAGAATAAAACAAGTTTCGTTAAAATAGGGCCACGGGTCACTTATGAAAATTTCTAGATGAATTTAGGTGCACTAGACGGCACCACATATCGTTTTATCTATCTATCTATCTATTCGTTTTCCACCTGATGAATCACTTTAAAATATCTTATATACAACAATACATGCACAACAGAAATTAAATGATGAGATAACAGAGCATAGAAAGAACAACAATAAAATGGACCTACAATATTATTGACTATTTGCAAATAGTAACTATGGAGACGAGGTAATAAAATAAAAATAAAGTCGAAAACAACAACAAAATTTTATAAACGAAAACCTCTCCCCGAGCATTGGC